GGATGAGTGGAGTTATTTTCGGATGTCGTAGATCCAAATGATGCTATATCATCAAAAGTTGTCAAATTAAGTATCAATAATACGATAATATTTTTGACACAAGAGATACAAAATCTCCAAGCAGAAATTGAAAATATCAGTGAGCAAGTAAAACAGCAATTGGAATCATCACAAGCAGCACAACAAAATTTGAAGGGTGAATTGGATAAAATAATTTACTTTTATCAATTTGATTAATCAAATACGTTTAAAGAAACAAAAAATAGGCATACCAATATTGTTAAAGAATTAGGAGAAAACGTTAAAAAAAAATTGAAAGAAAAACCTAAAGCCAAGTTGCTATAAACAAGGAAAAAAGTCAAATTGCAGAAAAGCTTCATAGACCAGTGAAAAAAAATTATCAACGACGACATGTGGATATCCGTGGTGTCGATGAGACTTGGCAAGCTGATCTTGTTGATATGATTGCATATAAATCCTACAATAAAGGATATCAATATTTATTAACAGTTATTGATATGTTCTCCAAATATGTTTGGGCTATATTAATAAAGACTAAAAATAGTGAAGATGTCACTGCTGCAATGATGACAATATTGAAACAAAGAAGAATACCCAAGAATTTACATGTTGTTTCATTTTAATGATAGCTATATTATTATTATCAAAAATAAGACTGCTATGAATATTAGGCTGAGATATTAAAGATTGTACTCCCTATCTTCCTTCTTACTTTGTAATTAATTTTACATCTTTATAATTACGAGCATTATGTATCGTTTTTCCATTAATGGCATCATTCATGAGTTTAAAGAAATTTTGTTTAAAGATTGTTTAAATTTTAAGACTCGATAAACTGTAGTAATTTTTAATTCGAATTCAATACGTTGCTGTAAATTTCTATATTTTATTACATACTTGTTTTTAGGTAACAATGTTGTCATTAGCTTTTTACATGTTGCCAATGTTCAGAGCACAATGGTAAATTTTTATAGTGCTCATGTAATAATTCTGGATAATCTGAATCTACTTCGGAAATATAGCCAGTAGAGGAATTTTTAGGAATATTTGAAATTAAATTATCATTATTCTCGTTATGAATTTTAAACTGATCAGTTGTCCACTTAAAAGAACCAGTAGGCTAATATTTACTCATTGCAGCACCATAAAGATTGTTTACATCGAAATACATTAAATCTTATTTTTCTCTGGTTTTATCATAATCAACCCTCATATACTCATCATTAGCTTTTACATATCTATTGCTACATTGCGATAGAGCTCCTCTAATACCTTTTTCAATGAAATTCAACATCTCTACATCTTGTAAAGGATCAAGTTTTATTTCTGCGTATTTAAGCATAGCATCAAAAGCTAGATTTGGTGCAGTTAAATAATGTAATGGATCAAGATTATATGTAGTTAGATAATTTATTCGAAAATTTTCAAAAATATCAGCAAAAAGTAATACATCTGTGATTAAATATAAATCTAAAGAATCACCAAGAGTTTTTAATTAAAACTTATTCCGGACAGTAAGTGCATGCCGATAGTCTTGATCTGATATGTCAGCATCATTCAATTTTCAAATGATTTTGCTGCTAATTCTTTAATTAGAAAATAAAAATCATATCCTGAAAAATTGTGAAAAACTATTGGAATGATATGAGATGATTGGTATTTTAAATTGCATTTACTGTAAGCTGGACCGCTATAATGACCGGTAAAATGACAATAGTAGAATGTATGCACATGTATGACCAGATATGTATGCTCCAACTTCCTTTTAGTTGAAGGCGTGGCACTTGAGTTGGAAATTGTACTATTTGTATAATTCAGGGTTACGCCTTTTACTTTACATACTTCAGGTATCGAACCATCCGGCTTTTGTACGAAGTAAACATAAAATTTCGGGTCACCAGAAATAAAAGATTTTATGTAACTGCCTATACCATAGCTCTCTAGCTCATCAGTTAAATCACCCAAATAGTTGCCTGTTTCAAGATCTGTACTATTTTCATTAGAAATATAAATAACAGAGTCAGTATCACAATACAAAGCGCAAGTGTTTAATTTTTCTACAAAAGAATATAACTTCCATAACATTTGTAGTAGGGTGTGCTTCGAGAGCTTCTTCTTTCTGTACGTATGACACATACAAAATATCATTATTAACGCAGTATAAACCTGTAATATCGATCTCAGGATTTGTCAGTGATTTCATAAGCTTAACACGATTATTTACTATTTCAGTTTGGGTAAGATTTTCTCATTGTCCAAATTTACCCCATAATGAATTTAGAAATAATTTTGCAACTAATCGCAAACCGGGATTATGTATTATTTCTTCCCTTTCGTAATATTATCAATAATTTATGATCATGTTAATTTTAATTTAATAAAGTATTCTATAAAAATTATGAAAGAAGCAATAAAACAATTAATGTTAGTTTGACAAGTTTCACCAATAAGTAATAAATCATCTATATCTTATATACATGTAATAGAACTTGAAATTTTGCAGCAATGAAAATAAATTGATAATCAATGTCTATTGTAACACCTTTTCAAATTGCTCTAAGGAAATTGTACCGTTTCAACACATATTAGTAGAAACAATTAGGAAGGTAATTACGCCCGGTGACATCGGTGCGTAGCGAGTAAGATACCATCAGGCTAAGGTATCACCAATATGGAAGGAATAGTGTGCTTCCTGAAGTATTAGTTCTCACCAATAATATTTAATAAGTTAAAACTCACAAAGCTAAATGGTTTTAACTTTTCCTACTCTCGGAAAGGTCAACGCCTTTTTCAAATAATATTTATACCATTGTAAAAACTCAATAGTCAGTTGCGAAGTCGTGTTTGAACCAAACGAACGTAAATCAGTGTTTAAATTGTGGTTCCTGTCTTAAATCAATTGACTATTGGGTTCCTCATCTCAAATTGTACATTCTGTGGATTGACTTGCTGTTAATTCAATGCATTATAATTTTATTCAAAAATGTTCATTTTGTTTTATTGAAACTGCTTTTTAATATATGACTTTGAAAAATCACTTCAAAATTACATCCCGGGTTTAATCAATTTTTACAATCAAAGATCCCTGTACTCCTTTCCTGTCTATTGGCTGCAAAGCTAAGACAAAAACGGAGAATTCTATGTTTGTGTCTTTTATTGCAATTAATTCAATAAATTAATTGTACGTTAAGACGTAACACACTTTTCAATTTTTGATTTTCTCCAATTTGTTGTAAGGCATTTATCGATGTAAAAAGAGAAATTATTTATACATACGTAAATAGTAGTGTGAGAAATTGATAATAATCAAAAGAGAATAAAATAGTCATACCTGCATGGTATGATAAGATGCATTATCTATAATAATGCAGGTTGGTTAATGCAAATTTAATAGCAGCTGTTCTTGAAACAATCTGATGAACATGTTTCTATCTATATGATTCGTAATTCTATTTTTATCTGGCTTCTGATTGGAGCGTACTATCAGCGAAGCATTAGGAACAAATCCGTTTCTTCCTCCAGCATTACAAATAATATATCGGCATCCTTTTGTATATCGTCTTACAGAGCTACTTTGATGATTACTATTCCGCCATTTCTTAATTTTATGACTGCCAAATTTATTGACCCAAGTTTCGTCTTGACAAATAATGTCATATTTTTACTCCCTGAGAATTTTATCAAATTCTTTTAGAAAATACATCCTTCTCCGAACGATATCGGGTTTCTCAGTAAGGTATCGTCCACCATTTCTCAGCTTGAATTCAAACCCGATGTCATGCATAATTTTTCTAAAGGCTTCTACCCCGCCAGTAAATGAAATTTTTTTTGCTCTAAATGGAGTGAATTGACACTTTGCGGTTAGAGTATTTAATAAAAATTTTCTACGTGGTTAGTAGCTACCGATGAGTAACTACTTAACATTTTATTTAAAATTTCTAAAAAAAAACTTTAGTAATTGCTACATCTAATAAAATATAATAACTCCAGTGTTTTACTGCTGTACCTGAAGAATTACCTATGTCTCATTCACAGCTGACACGATCAGCTGACAATGTTGGCTGTCAAAACCCAGGCAAGATCAGGTAAAAAATTTTTCAACTGAAAAGTCTCACTTGTACGTTCAATTGTTCAACATTATAATCCTGAGTAAATGTTAATACAAAACATCAATTATCAATATTTACAATTAGTATAACGGCAATAAATTTGATGTATGTTTTAGATCCAATTACAATGAACAAATACTTTTTTGAGCACAATCAACAATAATGTATTTGTGGTCAAAATTGAAAAAAACACTAAGAAATGGCACTTATTAACACCACTGAATTACTATATGAAAACAAAATAGATGCACCAAAAGTTGTTGTAGATAGCAGGACGAAAAAAACATGGCGCACATTTCAAAACAATGGATTGTTCTTTTTGATTGACATATACATTATTAAGGATAGGAAGGAATAAAAAAGCCTTATAAATTGTTCACTTTAATCATCTGTAATTTATTATACTCGAAACAATATGAAGTACAATTTTTTCATATATAAATAACATTATACGAGGAACTATATTAATTTGGCGTAGGTTTGCATCAACTTGCGTAGTTCGGTCAATTTTTTTTTATTGTGCATGCGCGTTCATTAAAAATTTAGAATGGGAATGTACTCCAAGAGGGGGTAGCTCTTCGGCACGTTCACTCTTTCAGTGGGACGACTATATCAAAATATTCATCGCTCTATAAGCTCGCAGCTAAAGCTCCATGTGATGAAGATCATCCATTGTGGTCCCTTCTATTGAGATAGAGCTCTCACGCATCACTGCTATTTGTTTACGCTCCGTCGCCTTGCTCAGAGGGGAAACTACCAGCTCGTTAGCTCACAATCCTATAGTTCCACAAGAACAGCTCGATGCTCAGCTCATCTGGGTGAAGATCATACAACGACTTCACTTTTTATTTGAATTAAAAGCTCTGCGAGATGGTCTTTAATTACCATCATCGCATTTTGTCTTTAAGCTCGGAGCTTTCGTTGTTTAAGAAGGTTTGCTTCGAAGATGGAATTCTTCCGATAATACTCGCGAGAAAAACCTACTTTTCACAGCTAGTAATTGATCAAGCTAATCGACAAATGCTCCATGAAGGAACGCAAGTTAATCTTCTTCATGTTCAAGAAAAGTTTTGGTTCCTAGAAAGAAGAATTCCTTTTCGCTCATTCATCCTGAGATGCGTGATCTGTGCTCGATATCGCGCTCGACGTGCTCAACAGCTCATGGGCCAGCTCCCAGCTGATCGTGTGATACCAGTTCGACCATTCCACACTACTGGGGTAGATTATACGGGTCCTTTCACGCTCAAGACATTCCAGGGAAGAGGCGCAAAAACATATAAAGGCTGCATAGCTGTTTTTGTCTGCTTCGTGACTTCAACTGTTCACTTGGAGTATGTTGCGAGAGGTTAATCGCAACCTGTCAGCTGGACTAGCTCTTCCCCTCGCCCTATTCTAGCTCTTTTTTTAGCGCTCAACTCATTACAGCTCGTCTTTTCCGTCCTAGCCAATGGTAGTTATCGTACTATTGTACCAGGTCTACCGACGCCGGCTACAACGTGTTTGCAATCATTAACGCTCACGCGACGCCCTAGTACACGTGCTGTTTCTTCCGCTCTTTCGATTTTCTCATTGAATCATTGCTCTAAGCTCTATTTAAGTTCAAGAAAGTTCCTAAAAGCTCTGCTAGTGTTGATGATTCATTGTTAACGTGATTAATGATTTATTCTTATAATAAAATTACAATAAAGCTTAATTAAAGTTTCTTTTGTGTATGTGCACCTCTCCTGACCACATCCTCCGGCGTATCTCATCTGTTATCGATCTTTCGGCTCAAAATAGCTAAAAACATTGCAGGCAATTTATTTGCATTGAAAACATGGACTTATGTGGGATTTAGGTGCTATGATATATAAAAAAATGCCTAGTGTTATCATTAAAATGACAGAAAAACCTAATTCTATCTATGTTAAAGGAGAAGAAAAGAAGGAATGCCTACATCAATTTATCCATAGTCGACAAACAGTGATTAATCTGGAAGATTTGCAATATCTATTACTAGACTTTATTCCAAATTTTCTAAGTTAGGTACATGCTTTCTCACATCATGGACCAAGTCGTACTACAAATTGTGCATTAGAAAATGTACAAAAATTAAAATCTGGTTTGAATCGAACTCAATTGAGAAATTGCAACCAGTGTTGAAAAAACTCTATACAAATTTTAACTTCGATTGTTTATTGTTAGAGGGAATACATGTGTTGCCTGAAAAATTTCTCATACTTTTCGAAAAAGAAATTGAAGATAAGAAAATATAAAAATAACATAAAAATATGAAAATAAATTGAGTAGCTTTTAACTCTCAACTTTATTATAATAATTTTTCTCAATTAGGTTTTCTTAACAATTACTAGAACTCAAAACATCATCACAAATTTCTATATCAAATAATCAGTTGCGCTATCACAATCTTCAAAATGAATCAACTAAAACTTTGACTTGTTACAATTCTGGAGCTCAAATAAACCTTATATACTAACTGAAGAATATTTCTCAACAAAATGTTTCTCAATAATTCGTAACTTAGAATTCTAAACTCACAAACGCAATATTATAGTTTTCCACAATAAACAAATCTTTAAATCAAATCAACTAAACTAAATCATACCTTCTTTATCAAAATCTGCAATTAAGCTTAAACTAACGAGTACGAGAGCAAACCAAGCCTTACGGATTTTCTTCTATTCAACAAAATAATTTTAACTAACTTCAAATTTACCTATTAACCCATTACGAATCCCTTCTCAATAACTTACAGTCTCAGCAGGGCTCTAGATGTTAATAGTTTTACTGAACCTGGTCCTAGTGGTTCTGGACCTCTTTTCACAGGAGCAGTACTTCTCCTATGTTCTAGCTTGCTGACGGAACCTTCGCTGGATCTCTATCTTCTCCAACTCCAGTCCTGGCTTGATCTTGACTGCCTTCTTCTGTGGCTTGCACTCGACGGACTCTGAGCTTGGCTATCTCTCGACTCTCTGGCAAAAATCTCAATCCAAAATTTCTTAATCTTTGTTTTTTCATTCTTTTGTTTTTCTTTCCCTTCCAAGGTCTAATTCTTTTCAAATTATTAAGGCACATTTCTCATTGGTGGTTATCTTCACGTGACTTCTCCCAGATTTTTATGTGGAGGGGTCACTTAATTCTAAGGTGCACCCAAAACTTAATTCTAAACTCAAAAACTTATCTTCTAGACTCAACAACTTTATCCTAAGCATGGGAAAACTATAGGGTGACTCGTTCGTTTGGTCCTCTTCTCCACTACCGCCTCCCAACTCTCCTCACAACGGTCCATATTTCTTGATAACTTTACTTTTTTTTAGATTCTGCCTAATCCCTTGTTATTGAGATTTTTAACACTAATTATTTTGATTCTAACCCCAAATCCCTCAGCCTTGGTTTACGCAACAAAATTAATAATCAACAATAATAGCGACTGATAACAATAATAAATTGTATTAATAATAAAACTTCCTTACAACTAATTCAAATAGAATGACTAAAAATATAATTGATCCTAATAAAAATAGAAATATTTAATCAATTAAACAATTATTCATTAAGAAGAAAGTATAATTGCCTAAAATATTCAATAAAATAGCTCATGTGAGCTCTGACTATGTAAATTATTTAAATAATTTTATTTACTTTAGACTAAAAAGTCCCTGGAACATCCCTAAGTTGGCTAAACTGAGCTTTAAATACTGTCAATGGGACGTTACCCCAAAAATAACGTCACAATGTATACATGTACGTATGTAGGGACGTCAGCATTTTTTTCGTTTTCGATATCTTAAGAACGGATCAAGATATCAACTTCAACCAAAATTAATTTGAAGGATATTATAAATAGAAGATCTGAAAGGAATTTGAACGAATTCGATCAAGCGGTTTTTTTTTTTTTTACAAAATAACTAATAAGAAAATGAAAAAATTAGCTATTTAAAATACTTTTGAGCCAAAACATAACAATTTTATTTGAGAATTAAGTCAATATTGACTAGACATTGTTAACAACCAAATATGACTCTTAACAATTACGCATTGTTTATAACAATATGAATTCGAACAGACATAAAGAGTTCTTGTTTATAATGAAGTTTGTGGTCAATATTTTAGGATTATTAATAATGATGCTGATTTCCTACCTAAAAAAATTGCTTTAGAGGCAAACGTTATTGGCCCCTGTATAATTCGTTTTTATCAGCAGCAAAAAAGCACACGAATAATTCCATGACAGCTCATCACGGCATTCCTTGGAACGACGGTACATCATTAATTAAGGCTGTATAAAATAATCTACGTTCTATAACGCATAGTGCTGAATAAATTTACACACGTGACTTTTGACAGAAACGTTTATAAGAGACAGTCGTGTGTCGAAAAAATAATAAACATCGACGACATGCCTAGTAAACCACCATTAACTGCTTTGTCATCTGTTGAGTTCGATTGTTCATATCACGCCTCTTTGCAGTACAGCTTTACGGGGCACTGTTCAATCTCCACTGCTTGGTATGATTGCACCGGGTTGAAAAACTATTTATCAACAGCACCTGTTTCGGAAAATGATTCGTCAACTAGTGATCAACCGTCTGACAATGAACCCCTGACATAATTGTAGGGCATGTTATCAATATGCTGTAGATTTTAGAGGCACTGACGGCTTGTGCTGTTGATACAGATGGCCACAAACAACCAGGACAACACTGAGTTGGCATGTACGTTAATAGAGATAGAGTCGGTTGCTACTTCGACAGCTATGGATTGCCACCAATTATTCCAGAACACTTTAGACGGCTTAGAGATAATTGCAAATCCTTTGGCACACCGTCAAGCGTTTACAACAAGAAGATTCTCAAGTTTTCGGCCAATATTGTATCATATTTTTGCATGCTATGTCTGTTAATTATCCACTTAGTGAGTTTCTTTTGGCTTGAGTACAAAATATTCTGAAAACGGAAAAACTGTAAGTAAATATTATAAAGCTTTTATGAAAAAAAAATCATTTAAATGTAAAAGAAATGTTTTCGTACGTAAAGGATTAAAATTTCACCAAACATGTATATGTAGAAATAAGCATAAATGTTGATAAATATTACATATGAATAAAAATAGTATGCATTTCTCATTATTAGTTTTTACATGTTATATTCACGGTCATTATCATACAATAATCAGTTGTAATTTTTATTCGTAAAAATAATATAAAATATAAGAGGCTGTATTTGGTATTTTAAGAATATGTATAGAATACCGCATTGATTAAAGAAAACGTAATAAAAAATACAAAAGCTATTTTTATTATTTGACAGCACGTGTATATGTCCGTCTCGCTCATATGGTTTATCTCTTTCACTCTCGCATCTAAATAGGTACTTGGTGATACGCGGGTGCGCGTAGCATGCATAAATATGCGAACGCGTTTGTGCGCATCTTGGAAGTATATCCAGCCATTCATATCCAGATAAATGGACCATCAATTAACACCCCACCCGTCAGTGGGGCCTGTCTCAGGGCATTTGAGCGCAAGAAACTGCAGCTGCACAGCTCTGAGACCCGTCGGCCCCGCCACACGGCGCCCTGCCATTCGCTCTCGAGCGTCATGGCACACGGACTTCACAGCTTACTCTCAGCGAGACTCGTTATCTTCGAAAACGCTAAATGTCTCGTTGATGTCCTTTTGGCGTAGCCGTAAATTCTATAAACCCGCTCGTGGCGTAAAGCACATGCGCGTAAATTAAATATAAAAATTCATAATTAAAACAATAGCAATAATAATACAACTACAGTAGTTGTATAATTACGAGTAAAACCATAACTAAAAAGTAATAAATAAACCCCCACCATGCAATTTTTATTTCCAAGCTGTGCTACAAGGTCATCCCCACCCCCTCGTAAATAGGCTCTGGTAGACGCAAATTCATCCACACTTTGTGATGAGGATAGGAGTAGGGTCCGCCAATGTTGTTCCATTCTACTTATGGTCTATATTGGAAACTGGCAAAAAAAAACGTACAGAGCTACCACATTGAGCATTAACTAACCTCGATATTCTGAGGTACGCAAAAATAGTGAAAATTCCATACTTTCGCGCAGTTTTCATCAGAAATGATTTACTGAAATTTAAACCATGAAAAAATGAGTCAGCTACTGTTGACTTCGATAATAAAGAGGGACCTGGAACAAATCAAGTAGCATATAAAAAACGTGGAAATAAAACAATGCACTTTGATAGTTTCGGTCATTCAAAGCGTCCACCCAACATCAAAAAGATCTAGATATCGGTAGCATACTATATAATCATATAAAGTAACAAGATTATTCAACAACAAAATGTGGACATTTATGTTTAAAGTTTCTCAGAGAAAAATTTGAAGACATCTGAGGACTTGGTATGGAATTTAATCTCAAAAGCTATATAAGGAGTGAACATGAATAAAAGTACTTCAGTCGTGGATGATTCGTTCACACCAACGCTGTCTGCACAGTCCTTCATATTAGAGGCACATTATTTTCCACTTATCGAATTAACAAGGACAAAAAATTATGTATTGGGTCTTGTTGAATCATTAACATTCAACTCTACCCTGAATGTTGATAATGGAAATTCTAAATTTTAATATAATACAAATAAACGAGATAGAATTATTGAAATGCTAACAGAAAGCTATGAAATTCATAATATTGAAAATTACATAAAGAAAGCTGATCCGAAATTATCAATTTCCATTAAACCTAATAACAATGAATTGCACAGTGAGATTAACAGTGATAACGCTACAATAAATTTCAAGTCAGATCATTCTCGTTTGTTGGGTTTCGGTCCAAAACTTATCTCGCCAAAATCAACGCAGACGTCGGACTCACCAGTTTCTATCTTGTAAATAAATGTATTGAAAATCGAGTGCAATATTAATACAAGAGCATACATAAACTATAAATTAGTGATCACAATTCATGAATTCTTCCCATCAGTTCCACCAGGATATAAAATCATTGAAGTGCCATCTAACGTCATTTATCTGCTCATTATGCTACAAGTAATGCATTATATGCCATTGAAAATTGTCGATCAAGACGGAGAATTTGTTAATTTTCGTGGAGAAATAATAAAAATTTGTTTACATGTAAAATCTGTGAGATAATGGGTATTGTTTACAAAACAATTATCGGAAGAAGCTATAAAACTGAATTACTATGCCAGAAAATTGTTAGTCAACGACGAAACCTCAAATGACCAAGCCGTCAAAATATTTCGTTTTTAAAGAGCTTAATGCCACGCATACGAAACAAGTAATCGTAAAAGTGTGCTATTTTGCACGTTTATTACCATGGCTGTGGGAGAAGAGACAGTAGCTATTAACAGAGGATTTGTTTCGGATGAGTCTATATTAAATGATGAATTACATGCTTATCAACCTCATGCATTAGCTTCACTCGACAACGATGAAATCCGGATTGCTGAAAGATTATGATTTCATTTTTGTGAATGCTAAGCACGAATTTGTTTTAGCTCGTTCGAACACCGATTTAGATACAATAATACAAGCTACAGCGAGCGCAGATAAAAAAATTACATTAGCAAAAATTGAATAGATGATTCCGTACATCACAGTGTCAGACACAAAAAAAATACAATTATTTAATTATATCGCCAAGGTTCCACCAATAACAGTGCGTTTTCGATCGTGGAAAACTTATGAATATTCATTGTTACCGATAACAGCGAATAACATCTGGTTGGTGGAAACATTAACACAATTGGAGGAACCAATTGTGTACATCGTTGTACTGGCATTTTCAACAGCACAAAATATGATGCAACATTGACATTCCAGTCAAATCAATCATTGTAATTTGAATCTTGACGTAGCTCACAATCAATATGCATTATTATATGATATGTACAAAAATTCCCAATTTTTTAATAGTTTCAAATTTATTAAAACAAAAAAAGTCAACACCCCTTAAGATTCCATGACACACGACACTGAATAAACAGGAAGTGGATATTCTGAGAAAATAATGTAAAAATTCATTTAATTCTGTGATATCGTTAATTTTAGGAAAGAATTCGTTCAATTGCAATTGAAAATCTAATTTTTTCAACTTATCCCTTTTTTTAAAGTAAGGTTTATGTATTGAATTAATTTACTTGTACAAAATAAAGTGCCTAGAATAATATAATAATAGGATGCAAGTATCGTATTATATAAAAGACAACGATGGCATTTGTTATAAACAATTTAATATAGGATCTATACAATATATACGAGTTCTTCCAACGAGAAATTTTTTCATTAACTGAAAAAAGATGACTAATGATTGCTCACTAATTGAAACAAAATGAATTCGTTATAAATAATTAAAAATGTTTCCTGTGTGTTAAACATCAGTTTTAATGAATTTTTTTTGGGATTATAGACAGAATAAAGTTTTCGATGATTAAATGAGAAAATTATGGACTCTTTATTGGTTATGAGGAATTTAATTTTTTATAAATTTCTGTAGTAATATAACGGACACTTCATAAATTTGACAATGTCAATGAAAAAAGCATGGTGCGAGTAAATGATTCCAGAAACTTTTCATTTTCGACAAAATGAAATTGAAGTATCTAAAACTCATTTAAATGTAAGCCTAACACCGATTTACTGAAATATCAAAAGATATATATTTTTTACCGATGATCCATTAATAAGAGACAAATTTAATGAGTTATCGCAGTATGCTATTTTATCGGCTAGAAATGTTTATGTTAACAGAATCTATTAAAAAATTGTACACTTGTTAGATTCAACAGGTAAAAAAACAATCTATCAGAATTAGCAGTACAGAAAACAGTAATAATAATGATATTAACGATTTTATAATACCAGAATTTTTAAATACTCTCAATCTGCTCAAGGCGAAGTAAGTGTCATAACAAATAAAGTTTTCATGAATACTTATCGAGGAATAAGGCCACGACTGGGATCGTCAAAAAAAGTATTTTCAATTACACATAACTTAATTACTGGGAAATTGTTAATTAGAAAAAAGAAATAATCAATTACCTTTGTAATAGATAAAATCAAAAATAAAATTATCAATTACAGCATTGATTGATAATTTTTTTTTAAAATTATCAATTGATAATGTAATTTGTAATTTAATGGATCCAATGACAAATTAGTAAAATAATTTGTAATGTCTTAGGTTCAATTTTATAGATCAAATTACAAATTACTTTTGTAATTGATGATATTTTTAGTAAAATTACAAATTACAGGAGTAATTTGCAATTTTTTTTGCCAAATTACTAAATACGAAAGTAATTGATAAATTAATAATTTAAATTTCTAAATTAATAATTAGTAATTTTACTAAGAATTGATTTAAATTTTCATTTATTTTGTGATAAAAGTATCACGTTAATGAGACGAAAATAATGTTTAACTATGTATATCAACGATTCAACTTATGGTTCAATAATAAATTATGTGTTTTAAAGTTTACACATATATTTTGACCATAACACATATGTTTGAAACAACTTATTTATGTTTTAATGTTCGTCAAGATGTTTTAACGTTGAATCTACAATTAAACGTACTAACTTATGTTTTAATGATTAAATATATGTTCTAATGAGCTTATTTATGTACAAATAGTCGAATATGTATTCTAATGTTTCGGTTCATGTTTTTATAATAGAGAATGCATTCTTAGAATTTTTTTCAATGTTCTAATCGTCCAATATTCGATGCAATGTTCTAAATTATGTTCTAATGAACAAGAATATGTTCCAACGTTATATTATGTGTTCTAACGTTTCCACTTATGTTCTTATGATGAAATATGTCTTCTAATGATCTTTTTTAAGTTTCAATAAACAAAAATATGTTCCAACGTTATATTATGTGTTCTAATGTTTCGACTTACGTTCTAATAATTTACTATGTATTTCAACGAACTTATTTATGTTCGAATAGTCAAATATGGGTTTTAATGTTTCAGATCATGTTATTAATAAACTAGAGTATGTTTCAACGTGATATTATGTTCTCACGTTTTCACTTATGTTCAAAGTCTCAGATATAGGTCTTAATGTTCCAATTGATGTTCTATTAATATGGAATACTTACTAACGATATTATTTATGTCCTCATAGTGAAATATGCGTTCCGACATCCGTTGTCGTTTTATAATGCTGGAACGTTCTTTCCAAGCAACAAACATGTGTTTTAGCGCTTCAACTTATGTTCTAATAATGAAAAATTCGTTCTTACTCTCTCGTGTACGTTGTGGTAATCAGAAATATCCGCTCATTGTGTATAAAAAAGTGAGCTATGCTTGAACTTTTTTTTGAAGTGAAAACTTCTTTAGCGGCGTTGTAGACTTTTTTTGTAATGGGTAAAAAATGTTAAACTCGCGTCAGGACACGTGACCTGATCGAAAATTCGTAAGACGGATGGAGAGTAGACAGCTGGCGTGGCGTAGGAGAGGGAGTATCCCCCTCTCTTTCTACGGCGCGGCGAGAATGTATGCCTGCGCCGGCTGTTTCGTTTAGGCGGCGCAGGGCGCTTGCGCGAATGTTCGTGTGTGTTTATGTTATAGCGTGCCACGCGCATCCATGGATGGTGACAGCTGATGGCTCGACCGTCTGTGTAGTGGCCACACTGTTGTTTATTCGTGAAATTCGTTTATATAAAGTGTTTAAAATATGGAAATTGAACAAAGTGCATCTATTACTGAAAAAAGTGACAAAAAAATAGCGAAAGAAAATGAGTAAGTACTTCATAAATATACTAGATGAAAATTTAATTAATTTTCATTTTTTAATTAATATAATTTCATTTTATTATTGAGGTTAGGTTAGGTTTAATTAATTTTCATTTATTAATTAATGTAATTTTATTATCAAGATTAGGTTTCGATCAAGTCTACCGTAGTGCTTGACGAAATTATTAATGTAGATACATATGTACTTACACATTATAGATGTAATATTTGTAATATGTTTATACTTTATAGCATTAACCTATATTTTCATAACATCACAATAAGCACATGTGCGGTGTAGGTTTACCAAACAAATAATTTCAAATGAAAATAAATGAAATAAGATAATAATAAATAATCTCCGTTTTTCAGAGAAAGAAAAGAAAAAAAAAGGAACGAAATCGAGAATACCAAAGGGCATGGCGTCAGCGTAAAAATGATTTAAAGAAAAAAGATTCGAAGGAAGAGAAAAAAGAAGAAAAAAGAAAAAGACATCGTGAGAATCAAAGGGCATATTATCAACGTACAAAAGGTTTAAAGGATAATGACAAAAATGTAGAAGAATTGTTCCAAAAGAAATTAGATGATTTGCAAATGTAATTTAATTTCATATTTTAAATATTGTAATATATATATATGATTCATATTGTTATCATTTTATTTTATGATTTCTTTGTTTTTTCGCAGGAAAAAAAAGAAATTGGACAGTAATGAAAACCAAGAGAATGTTGTGCAATGCAGGGCTTCTCAAAATTTAGAAAATGTACAGCTCGAACAAAATCAATTCCTCACCCAACAACTTCGTATATATGAAGAGAGTCACGAATGCATTACCCCCAAAGTCATTCTACACAGAACTACAGATATTCCAGGTGATGGTAATTGTCTTTTCCACTCACTTATACGTGTTGAAATTATGGATGAAAGTTAATCTTTTTGAGAGATAAACTTTTTAATGTAATATAAATTGTCATGTTTGTGTACGATAGCGCAATAAATAAATATTGTATTCTACCATATAAAAGATAGTACTTTTATTCTGATAATTAAAGCAATTCGTGCAAACTTATTCCCTAACCATTCCAAAATATCCAAAACGCACAACGTTAATACTTAAGTTTTCACTTCTGCCGGCACTCCCGGAGTGCAACCCGTCGTTTTTTTTCTATAGAATTAGTAGATGGATTACTGTAGTAAGACAAACAGCACTCCTTGTAGTCATGAACGATTAACGAACTTTAAAATAAAGTCGAACAAATGTCATTAAATAGCTCATACTTATGTATGCTTATTGGAAGAGTAGAATTCTACTGAGAAGAACAGAAATAGAATAGTTTTATCGATTCAGCTATCACTCGAGTCGCTGCTGAACTAGAGTGACTTTTTGAAACGTTACGGTTTTTTTCTTGAGTACAAAACAAAACGTTGACATCTCAGGCCACCATATAATTACCTGAGTAGCATTGGTGGCTATTGCAATTATCTGTAACGAACCTTACTAGTAGAAGTCAACGTCAGTCCATGAAAGTAATGTGAGCTCATGGTAAAGTTATTATAGGGTGACTATCGAAGTTGCTCGTTGAACTACTGTGGTGTCTACTTTCTTTCTACCATAAGCTTTGAAAAAAGCAAAAATGAATCAGATCATCTTACCAAAAGTGGATTGATTAAAATTGCTTGAGTTTTGAGCAAATGTTGGCAGTTGGTCCGCCAATATTCACTAGCAATGTCTTGGTTGTATCTTTGCGGACGATGAATAACTCTCTAGGATGAAATGTTCGTTCCGGGATTACCAAATGTAGACTCCTTATGGTTAAAATGGAGAGTGAGAATACCGAATGCACAAAATCAACACCAATTATTATCAATTGTTGTGACAAAGTACTTTTTCAATTCGGTACATCTACAAACTAATGAATAGCTTGAACGATCAACAAAGACTAACTGCTGAGCGAATAAAAATTTCACTCAACTAGTTTGACAAGGAACTATTCAGATTATTTTCTCTAAATAAAACAGATTGATAAGTTCTGCCACGAACGAAAGAACGTCTAGTATTTGGGAAAAATTTGACACGATTATTTATGACTTTCGTCAAATAGAATTATAAGTGCCTATTGGCCTGAGTCACTCATTTTGTTGAAATTATGATGTAAAATATGCAATGGCATATATTGCGAGTTACTTATCGTTGATAAACATATTTTCTGGAAAGAAGATTGCAAGGAAAACGGAAAAGGATCTCGAATGATGTATTATTTAAAGATAAATAACAACTCCAGATGTTGAATGATAATGGAAATAGCGTCCGTAAAATTTATTAATTACAGGTTTAGTCACCCGCCCCCTTTTTCCACCTCTTCTACCACGCCACATTGCTCGGCTACGGCCTGCTGCATTGTGCCTTAGAATGCCAAATTGAGTATTAACTATATATTCTTGTCATTCAACATCATAATGAAGTCTCATTGTATAAGATTTATCACAATATATTATATAACGTAAGAATTTTTTAACTTTCTGTTATATTATGAGAACGTACATTTAAACTTTGTATATAATTGTGTTCAATTACATGAAATTTTTTACTGTTATATTCAATCATTTTTTTTAAGTTGTGATAAAATATATGTATAACAACTTACGATTGCGATTCGGCTGTTTCGGTCGCTCACCACTTTCCTGTACATAGTATAGAACTACAATGCACTATTTTACGAATTTCTATTTACTAACAATAAAAAGTTTATGTGCCATTAGATATAACGTGGGAACGTTGTGTCCTCAAACTATACATTACATTAACAATAAGCGGCTCAAACTATACTAGATAAAAAAGCTCAATTGTTGAAGTAAATATGAATAATAAACGAGCATAATGTTTTATTATGAATAATTGAAGACTCACGTAGTAAGTTTCACGTAGGAAAAATGCAAAAATATTCTTACTTGGATCAATTTGTTGTAGTTCTTGCTGCGGTTAGTGTTGCAGTTGTTGTGGTTCTTATTGTGGTTGTTGCTGCTGTTCAATTTCTGCTAAATTACCAGAATACACATAAACTTTGTTGTATGATAAGATATTTAAAGTATTTGTTTCACGGCATCAGAAGTAGTAAAAAGTCTAAACAAGAGTGCATTGTACAGTCAGTTAGTAGGTTTTGTATAAGAGTCGCACAAAACGCAAACTTGAAAATAAAATACCTCTGGAACTATATTGTACATAGATTTTAGTCTGCATATATCGGTAAAAAATTAATTTAATAATAATCTGTCAAAATTTCAAAAAAATCCAAAGAAAATGTATTCAGAGGAATAACTACCTTAATAAGGTGTTTTGTGTTTTATTTTCATTATAAAAAACTTCAATTTTTAGTAAAGACATTGTGATACCTACAAGGAGAAAACAGCAATGGCAATATTTATCTTCATTTTAATATTTTCAAAAAAAGTGCCATCTCGTTTTAAAGTAATAAATGTATCGTTTCTCCAAATTTTGATTATTTATTCAATTATTCCTTAATTGTATTCTTAATTCTTCTGTTCATGTATGATTAACTTAATGTTATTTATATGTTACTAGCTAATTCCCGCGACGAATTTTTAAAAATCAAATATAATCGGTACTTTGTCATGAATTAAAATGTTGTTTATTCGTTATTTAATCCAGGAGTGAATATTTTGATTCAACTATAATAATAAAGAACCATAGCACTTGATTAAATTATCAACTTAAGTATGATTTCATTTTAATGGTAAGTAGATCATTTACTTTCTGACTATCGATATTCAATACTATGTGATGTACAAGTTTTCGGAAAGTAACCTTCGATATTCTCTGATGATAATAAATTTCAAAATATCAGTGCTCTGCAGTGGTCTGGGTGAGACCCGAAAGGTCCACACGACCAACTTCCCAGTGGAAAAAATAAAAAAACAATTTGAATAGAACCCGTTTCCATTTTTTATAACAAATGGAATTGTTATAAACGAAATGAGCCTATTTCTATTCATTTGATATGGTTAGTTACTTTATTTCAGTAAAAGAAAAAATTGTGCGTTAGAAGAATTCGAATGTACCTCATAGATTCTTTTTTTCATTATTTACAACGAATTTCATTGTTATACACGAAAAAAGTATGTTTTCATTTATGGCATACGGTTGGTAACATTTTTTTAGTGAACGAAAAAATTATGCGTTAAAAGTACTCTTATATATCGAAAGGGTCCCTATTTTTATTGTTTATAACAATTTAAAACTTATTATTTAAATATTACTATGATCGATAATCATTTGTTATTAACAATGTTTAATCGTTATGAACACAATTCCATATTATTGACAATTATTATTGACTATTATAGCGTCTTTAATGCTGTTTTCTCAATCCTGACACGAGTTTAAAATTCTTTCATCGCTGATATTGTTTTTTAAATTTTTTTTTTTCGATGAAATATTGTCATCATATATCCATACAAGTATTTCAATCATTTAATATTCATATTTCGGCACTGATCGTGAAATTTTGTCTAAAAAATGGTATAATTTATAAATTGCAAAATTCAGGTAATTTCCTTTTTTTCCAGTTTTTTGATTCTGCCAAAAAAATGGCTTTACCGATTTTCCTGGAAACTTTTTCAGTTAATTACGCGTCGAATGCAATTGGTCCCACATCGATATCATTTTTTGTTCTCGAGATAATCGAGGCGAAAAATAATTCCGAACGTACGTATGCACATATGCACATACTCACAAACGCACATACGTACATACACACACACAGACGTCTACGTCAAAACTATCGTATTCAACTCTGGGAACCTTAAAACGTGGAGATATGTCAAAATTAGCGATTCGCAAAATCGGACCCATTACTATAACTTCCCACTGGGAAGTTGAAAATTTAATTTCTTTGCCAGTCGAAATGATAATTATTGAATCACAGACGAATAAATCCTTCATATTGACCATGAGAAAATTGAAATTGTATATCAAAAGTAGACGTAATATGGAATTTTTTTATGCTAATAGATGTAGTCAATAGAGAATTAACAAGAAATGTATGCTTCAATGATTGATACTTCATAAGAATATGAATCAACGATTTGACCGTCAAATGTATTAAAAATATAATTTAAATTTGTAAAATTATCTTTCAATCTAATGGATGATTCTGGTCCCTCAGACAATTCTTATTTTGACAGTGATTTTGATTCCGATACTCACTCCGATGAAAATTTATCAAGAACCACATATTAACGGGCTTCAAAAAATTACCGACATGACGAATCTAAGCTCGAAAAAGATCATACATTCCGATGGGTACGTGGTGAAATTTATCCTACTAATATTGAAGATGAAATACTATTGACTTCATCTATCAATGATCGAATTCGGAAAAGTGAACCGGTGAAACTCTTTGAGACGTTTTTTTCACTTAAAATGAAACAATCCATCATCGATCCATCTACAGAAAATAATTTAGAAGTATCTCTAATCGACTTGAATACATTGATTAGTATCGTTATAATGAGTTCATTCAATAAAAGGACATCTGAAAGAGATTATTGGTCAACAGATCCTTTTTTGTCTTGCGAGGTAGTTTTTTCGGCAATGTCACGTAATCATTTCTTGCAAATCAAATCAAAATTAGAATACTCAAAGTCTATCGATGAGAATATAAACGATAAATCGATCCGATTGTTCCAAAAAAATATTTTCACATTTGGCATCTGGAGTACTGCATTGTCAATAGATGAAATGATGGCTAAGTCTTACGCAAAAACTTCATTGAAGCAATTCATATGTGGGAAAACCACGCGATATGGCATTATATTTTGGGGTCCGTGCACTGTAGATGGATTCTTGCTAAATATTGACATATATTGCGATAAAAGTTCCGCTGTTGATGAGAGATTAGTTTAATGCACGTTAGGTTCTCGCGTGGTGATGAATTTATAAAAACCGTTTTTTAAAATGGCAGCTGCTGGAAAAGTTTCGCAATTTCATCTCTACTTCGATTTTTTTTTACGAATTTAGACCTTCTAGTACATTTAAAAAAATTGGAATTAAGAAACACTGGAACTGTTAGAGATAATCGAGTATCCACAAAAAATGATGTTGGTAAAAAGTCACCCCATAGAACTTATGTGGTAAAGCATGACCAGAACAGCGGAATTTATTACATTTCGGTAATGGATTCTAAATTGGTGTCAATTGTGTCGACAGCTGCAGGAGTGACTCCATTATTGCCATCCATGACGTATAGTTCTGCTGAAAAATCGAGAATCGAGAAGCCATTTCCACAAGCATTTTATCTTTACAACCAGTTCATGGGTGGCGTAGGTGTGCATGATGGGCATTGTAACAACGTGCTGCCGAGCATGCATTCAAAGAAATGGACATGGGTAGTTTTTATGAGGCTTATCCAGGCTGCTATCGTCAACTCACTTGTAATATATAATGCTGCTGGAGATAGCACAAAAAAAGTCGGAAGCAAAGAATTTGCAATGTCAATTGCTAAAAATTATATACGAACTGCGCAAACTAAACGAAGAGGACACACAACAATTCGACAGAGTAAACAAAAACGCTGCTCTAATTGCCCAATAAGAACTAATCTTCTTTGCAATGAATGTGCATGAAAAGTAATAGAAAGTTTTTACAATTGTTACCTACACATCCACTTTTTTCAGTTCTTTAGTTTAGTTTTATTTTGAATTATAGATAATATGCTTCACATCCATAAAAATACGAGAATTTTCTAAAAATTAAGAAAAACAGTCAATTCACTCTGTTTTTCGGTTGCTATATAAACTTAGAGTGAACTTATAATGATAAGACGAAGAAAGAATAATCGCAAAGAATGTATATTTTTCGGAGTTTTTTGCGTTTTAGGCGGCATCTTGAAAGATAAGTCAATAACATGTAAATATCAACATTTTTTTTTAACTTAAATAATTTCATGCACTGATGGTTGACGAAAGGTTTCAATTATCGTCCGTTACATGTCTGAAAAAAAAACATGAATATTGAAATCGAGGAATTTTTTGTCATTTTCCTGTACAAAAGCCGCCATATTTAATTGTGTGGTCGAAATTCCTGAATTTTGACTTCGGGATTTGACTCAGTAAAGCCGAAAATATAAAAAATCATATTCTCTATGACTTTACTACTTAGTTACATGTATAAAATTTAAGCTTAAAAACATGGCATAAATTTGACAATCTTCGGCGTTAATAGGTTGAATAAAAAAAAATAGTTCCAATAATAGTTATGGGTATTGGAAAATTTATTTTTCTATAATAAACGATGCTCTTTTAAATGATTCATTCCGAAAAATTATAATATTTTTCTGTTAATTGTTTTTTGAACAATTTTTTTGTTATAAACAATTTTTTTTACTTAATTTTTTTTTCCAGTTACTCCATCATTATTGCAAACGAGCTATCACTTATTCATGTTCTCAAAAAATTTATCATAATTACTTATTATTAACTATAAAATTTTTTTTTTCACATTTTTTTTATTTTTTCGAATTTGTAAATTATTTTTTATAGGTTTTTTTATAGAAAAATGAATTTTACGCACTTTTCTCGTGCGATTTAGTATATTGTAAAATATTTGTATGTCGCCATCTAATGACTATTAGACCAACGACAGTTTGTTAGTTAACGACGATTGCTTGACGATTAGATTGTTTATAGCAACGAGGGGAGAGTTTGTTTATCTCCAGTTTTTGACTTAGACTTGAGTTGACCGCACGGATTCTTTGATTTTAATTAATTGCTGTCAATCTTTACTAAACATTTTTATTTATTTACTAATTTTCCGAAGTTGTTATTGAGTCTTATTTTACATTGGTGTCAGAAAGTGGTTCGTTTCGTGTGCCGTGAATATTTTTGTTGGTGATTTTTGGAAAAATATTTAAAAAATCATGCTAAAGAGTCCAAGTCGGAGACGAATTCGAGCTGGAAGGAGAACTCAATTTGCCGTTTGTATCGAAGAGGGTACCAATGGAAGATTTCTAGCATCAGAGATAAGAAACTTTATTACTACTATTAATAATCATAACTATGATAATAATAATTTAGAAATTCATAATTTAGAAAATAGTTCTAATTTGGTTGAATCGGTCTCAACTTCGTCGGCTAATAATAGTTCGTTAGCTTTCGCGATTATTTTGAATTAAATTCATAGATTTGATTCAACTTTTCTTTAAAGTGAAGGAAATGGCCCGAAGTTTTAGTTATTTTTGGGAGGTCTTTATGCATCTGAAATGTACTTAAACATGTCGTGTTTCGAATTTCCAGAAAATCTTGAATGGTCGTTTTTAAGTGATTGAATGATTAGACTCACTCCGTATGATGATAATGAATCATTGTTAACTCTTCCTGGATTCCTAATTTCTGTTGAATTCAGGGTTTTTGTACTTTCCAGTCTGAGAATGTTGACTTTCATTGATCATTTGATTGTTGATTTAAATTCACAATGTCTGTCCTGGAGCGTTCTCGTTCAGTTACTTTAGAATATACACGGTTGGAGTCATTGTACCGGAATCCTTTTCTTCATTCATTGGCCAAAGTGGAGCAAAGTGAGGTACTAGATGTCCATGGTATCCTATTATTTTTGTTCGGATAGTATGCGTAACTGTGAGCCCAATTTTTAATAATATAGTTTGCACAGTGAGCTAAGCTAGAAAAAGTTTTTTATCGCTTGATTTTCTGTTGTGTTAATGCTTTTGTTAATGGAAATTTCGATAAATATTTTCAAGAGAAAACAGATTTCACTATGATGTTACTATTATATTTTTAGAAAGCCCACAGAGGGAAAATTGATGAATACAATCAATATGCTTTTGAAAAATGTGAGCGAATGAAGTGAGATGAAGACCATTATAAAACGTGTCGTTCGTTTAGCCAAAAAAAAAATTTGAAGAAAATGTCATCGGTTATATTTTAGAATCGTTCGCCCCATTCAATACAGTTGAACTGCCAGCTTTTAGGAAAATTTTTGATGGTGAGTAGTGAAGAAGATAGATACATACTGAACAAATAAATGCACATTTACATGAGTATTGCTTATAAATGATATCATCTTATTATTTTTATCTTGCCATGAATATCAAGAAAGGTGGAAAAATGCTCGAACATCTATCAGCTAGTACCGTCCAACGAAGAATTGGTGATACATATGCAAAGAGTATTGCTAAAATTAAAGCTGAACTAGTAAAAGTACAGTATGTTTGTACTACAGCCGATGTATGGTCCGGCAAAACTCGACGTTTTCTTGGCATGACCATCCATTGGGTACGTAGCGTCAATCACATTACAGCTTAATAATACTACTCAATAACGTTAAATATTCGATACTTAATTTACAAATAGATAGTTTGACGTTCAAAAGGAAATCCTATGCACTGGCGTGCCGACGATTCGATGGGAGTCATACGTATGACCGAGTGGCAAAAAGGATCAAAGGTATCCACGAAGAATTTGACAACTTAGATGACAAAGTTCTTGCCACTTTAACAGATAATGGCTCCAATTTTTCGAAAGCCTTCCGTGAATTTGGAGTAAAAACGTGTGATTCTTTTTTCCAAAAAAATACGAAAGTCTGGTCCAAGTTTCAGGGAAATCAATCAAGAAACCAGTAGTCACTCGTTGGAAGGTACTGTACAATTCCTTAAAAAATATTTATAGTTTAAGAGAAAAATTTCTAGAGAACAAAATGGATATAGACTATTTGAGAGAGAGAGACTCTAAATTCATGAATGAATACATACGATGTAATCAGCCAATAGCCGATGCGATTGATATATTGCAAGGAGAAAAAGAAGCATATTATGGATATTTATTACCTACATTAATTTCAATAGAGAGAAAATTAGTAGTATTGCAGAGAAATAACACTCAATGGTGTAATCCTTTGATAACGTCAGATGGGATGTTATATGATAGGAAAAGGTTTTGACGTAAAAACAACTTCTCTTTCAAGTTAATTGTTTTTTTTTTTTTTTAAATAAAAGAATTTTGTCTTTTTCATGAAAAAAAAAAATGATCCCTTAAATGATGATTCCCAAGTAGCATTAATCTACCTGTAAGAATCAGAATTATGTTCTTTAATAACTTTTTTAATATAGGTAAAACTAGAAAACCTAATCGTAAAACAAGACTTACAGTATCATAACCATCATCATAGTCAGTGGAATCATCATCATAGATATCGTCGTGATCAATTGTTGCAGGTGAAGGATGTAGGAATTCTACCTCACTGTCCTCCGATGACACAGTCGCTGGAGTAGGAGGTAGAACATCTACCTAACGATCACTGTCTTCGACGGTGATGATTTCCTGGCTTGGAGGTGGTGGCACGACGGAGAGGTCTCCTTCTTTCCGGAACCATATGACGTTACCGGAGAACGTTAGGCAGGTAGCCGTCACACTACAAAGTGTAAGGGTAGCGCCTTCTATCCCTCCCGTCTCTTCCCAATGATCTTCAAGTGCCATTAGAATTATCATTTCTAGGAGGGTGATCGGTAGGTCGAACCAGGCCTTCGGAAAAATAAAAGTATTTCGGGTCGCACTCAGACCACTGCAGAGCACTGATATTTTTGTTGTATAAATTTTAGTAGAGGTATAAATGTAGATTGTCCAGCTGATAGAGGTTGCTAACGATTAATATTGACTTGCAGATATTCAATTTCTACAAGTGACCAACCAGAATCTCGTTCTTGAAAATCCTCGACTTTTGTTAGTAGTTTGTCAACAACATTTTTCAGAAAATGTTTTTTTATATCTGTTGACGGCAAAATTGCTTCATTTTTTACAGTAAAGTACTCAGTTTCTACAACTGTTCCATCATTTGTTTGATTACTGAATTTACAAGCAAGGACAAAGTTTACTTTTAAATTTCCCTCACTTGTCACTATATTTCTCAACTTTTCGGTAATCAGCTTTTCAGCGTCCAATAAGAAGTCTCGTAAATTTAAATGTTGCACGTTAATGACAACACTAGTGCGAATTCGATTCCTGACAACATTTTCTAAATCTTTCCACCAAATCAATTGTTCTGTTGATAGAAGGCTTCTTCCAACGACTGAATGATTTACGAATTTTTCATGTAATGTTGCGAGTGCTGCAGTTATCGATTGAATTTGTTGTTTTTCACCAACCGATAAACCACTCAATTGCAAATGTCTGTTTAATGCAGTAATATTGTCACTACTAATTCGCACCCACTTATCAATGATTTCACTCGATTTACAATTTAAGATGGTAGAAGAGCATAAGCCTCATTCATCATTTTAATTGAATTAGAATAATAGTTCGGTGCACTCATTTTTGACTATGCGAGACAAACTTCAGAATTACAATAATGAAAAAGCGTATTTAAAAAGATTTATATAGGATTTGGATGACCTTGTAATGAGTGCCACAATCCAAAAAAATTTCTCGAAAATTCGAGAATATTGAGTACCTAATTTAACTTATATTAAATAACGATTTTTTTTTGAATGTAGAGAGGGAAAATATTTAAATCAAAAGAACAATGACTTAAAATTTTTTTTTCTTTTATTTATTGTATTCATTATTTTTGTGACATAAGATTTTTTTTAGATTACATTGATTATCGTAAGATTTAC